ACAGTGCTGAACCCACCACAAAGCCATGGACTGAAGAACAGCAGCCTGTGCCTCCCTGAGGCCTTTCAGTCACTGCAAGGGTTATTTCCAACAATGATTGCTGTCAGCATGGGCCTGCTATCACCTTCAGATGAAAGCCTGGACTGTGGCTCACTGCACAACCTGCAAGGAGCCCTGGGAAGCTGCAGTCAGCTCTTGCCTCAGGAGTTCAAACCATTCCCCAAACCTTGCCCTGCAGCCAGCCAGAGCCACTGGGGCAATGCTGACCCCCAAAGCTGCACCATGGGGATTCACAGACACCAAGGGGCTCCTGGGGAACCCCAGCACTGTGCTGAGCCTCAGCAGCAGCATGAACAAGAACCCAATGGCACAGCTCCCTGAAAGCACAAACATCAGCAGTAAAGTGAGGCAAGCAGTGCAGAAAAGGGGCTGATTTTAGCAGAATTTTAAAAAATATGGTCTGTGATGAGAAGCTCCTTTTCCAAAATACAGAAATCCAGCTGGAAGATGAACATCTCAGCCTCCCTTGAAAAGACTCTCATGCACACATTCAGCACTTCTTCCAAAGCCTCAAAGCAAAGGCAGAGAAAGGAGAACAGCTCTCCCTTACCTGTTCTCTGTGCCTTTGGGGAAAGGATAAAAGCCCTTTAAAAGCTGAGCTTCAGCTCCAGCCCACCCTGGGCATGGGAGGCCTCAAAGGGACCTCATGTGGCCTCCCAACTTCCAGAGGAGAGTCCACCCCAACCAGACACATCAGGACAAAGCTCAGCTGGAAGGGGACTGCCACTTCCTCCTGTCACTGTTGCTGTCACTCAGCTCTTTCCCCTACAAGGTTTGCAGTGTTCCCCACAGCTGAGCCAGCCTTGAGGGTCTGTGCTGCCAAACTCCACCCTGACCCAATCCATCCCCCTTCCTGCCAAGGAAAACAAGGAAAACTTTCCAGTGTTGCCCCTCACGTTGAACAGTTCCACACCTTTGCTCCCACAATCCCATCACTTTTTCCTCTACCCAATCCTCCCCCCAGTTTCTTTTTATGCCCATCTTCACACCTCAATCCTCCAGCCCCACACTGCCCTGGCCTCTCCAGCTTTGCCCAGCTATGCCTCAGCTCTCCAAATGCTCAAATTCCTCCTTAAAATGTCTTTTCCTTACAGTTTTATAGCAGCAACTCAACCCTTTCTTTGTTGAAACAAAACTGAGTCACTATGAGAGCAGGCATTGATCCTTACAGCACAAGGGCTGAGCTGATCAGAAACTTCCCAGTGATCTCCATGACAAGAAGTGATGATTGCATGGTGTGAGTGCTTATTAAACAAAGCAATCAGCACTGATGAGAGCAGAAAATAAATTCTGTTGTGTAACAGATGCTCCACAGGTGTAGCCCCTTGACAGCCCAAGGGACATTTCCATGGCTCATCCACTGTGTCCAGGCAATGTCTGGCAATGGGCAAGCCTGGTGTGTGGGCCACTAGTCACATCTATGCACCTGGCTATGTGTCCATAGTCACATCTATGGACTAGTCACATCTAGCTCCTGGCTAAATGCTCCTTTCACTTCTCTTCCTTTTCACAGTGCCATGTCCTCCTCTACCTGAGCCACTGCTCCCTTCTGCCAGGCTGAGACAGGGAAGGGAAGAGCTCCTGTTGTCTCCCACTAACAGGGAACAGACACTGCAGGTGCTGTCCAGCAGAGAGGCTGAAGGGATGGACACTCCCCCATCTCTACCTTTCTGTGCAGGTGAGACCCCACCCATAAACCCAGCTCTCAGCTTTCTCATTCCCTCCAGATCATGCCCTAAAGGGAGGCTCTATCCACACTGGCTTACCCCACAGAGCAGCTCCTCTCTACCAGCAGCATCCTCACACTCTGGGGGATGCCCAGAAACTCAGGGTGCAGCCCCCTGCCCTCTGCCTCTTGAGCAGCTCAAGTGCCCTTCACCCCTCAAGAAAACAAGCCCAGCCTGATGCTGATGGTGGCAGTGAGTCATCCCAGAGCTGTGCTGGCTTCTTCCCCGCATGGAAAAAATCCCTAAGCAGGAGCCACACACGGGCTGCAAACAATGAACAGCCTGAGCAATGCCCAGGCAGCAGGACCCACACAGATCTCTGTGCTGGCTCCACAGACATCAGCAAAGGAGCAGGGCAACACAGACCAGAGGTGTGTGAGTAACCCCACACTTGGATTAAATACCACCACCACATCCTTCACAGGAAAAACTGGAGCCCTGAACAAGCTTCATCCAGGAAATGACTCGATGGGAGAAGGATCCAGAGTGCTCACTCCTTCCTTCTTGCCCCACTCCTCCTCCTGCTGTAATGGTTTCCTGTTTTCCAGCTGCTCTGACCCCAGTGAGTCACTGCTCATCTCCAGGTGACCTATATCAGGTTTTTATCTGGAGAAGAGGATGCCAGAGCACCAGCTGCTGCCTAAACCCACGGTCCTGCTGTGTTCCTGGCCACTTACTTTGAAATGTTAAGAAGCATGTTACAGGATGAAGTAAAGAAAGCCTCAAAAATCAAAACATGATGCTAGGAAAGGTTAAAATTCAGGGTTAATGCTGTAGAAAAAGAGCCTCACAAAAGCATGGAACAGGTCACCACCAGAACACAGCAAGGGCTTCAGAAACTCCAATAAGCTACTGTGATGTTATCTTGTCTTTTCTTATCCCCTTGCCTCTGTCAACACACAATTTCTGGACAGGCTGCATCAAACTAAGATTTCCTTCAGCTGTGGACACGTGGGGTAGGACAGGTCAGTGAGAAGAACACAGACACAAGGAATGTTCATGTGATGAGCCACACAAAAATACTCTGACAAGACAGCAGCAGGAGCTCCCAGTGCCAGAATAAATTATTGTCTCTGTGACACTAAGCAACAACAACTTACTGCCTGATCTTGTCATTCCTGGGTCCAAACCTGGCTCCAGAAGGCCCCCTCCTGCAGGCAGAAAAGAGCAATCAGGACAGAAGGTACAATGAAAACCTGTTTTTAAACCAGACCCAAAGGATACAGCGGAAAGAACCAATGCCTTGTGCACAGAGAATTGTTTTCATACTCCCATCATCCCTCCCAGGTCTAAGGATCCACATCTCACTCTTACAAAAGGTCACACCTATTAATTCATGCTCAAGGCCAAGGCTCTGCAAGAACATCCCAAAGGAATCAAAGGTTTTCATTCCCAAGACCCCAGTTTTAGAGCTGCAGGCAGGTATGACACTGCATTCCAACTCACAAGAAAAAGTCTTCCTCTTCATCTGAGTCTTCCTCCAACAGGTTCCTCTGCAAACACAGAAAAACCATTTCATCAATAAGCAACCACCAATTCACACCCACATTTCCAGCTCTTAGGATGCAGGATTAGCTCTTAGGATTTCAGCTCTGACTGCAGGAAGGCTCTCTCTGCTCAAGGGACAGTCCCCAGCCCTGCACCCAAAATCACCAGGTCACCCACAGACACCCTGGGCTGTCCCATCCACTCCAGATGTGGAGAATGAGTTTTCTCCACCATCTGATGGCAGCAGCTGTAAGAGGGATGACCACAAGGGCAGAGGGGTCTGGCAGCTCCTCTGTTTCACCCCAAAGGACTCCCCTGGTCTCCCCTTTGCTGATCCACTACATTCCATGAGACCATCCAAAACCTGATTTTTAAGGGGAACCCCACAATCGCACAGTAGCCTGAATGTTCCAGACAAAACCATTTCTGCTTAGGGTCAAAAACAACCAGGAGAGGAAGCTGACACACTAAAACTGTGGGGCCAGGGACCCAGCAGATGGTCCTTGGGGTACCAACAGTCGCTGCTTTCCCGTGTGTAGCTCTGGGCTCCCACCTGCAAGCCTGATGCTCTGATGGTGCAGCTCACCTACATTTCCATCCTGTCACATTTGCTCAACCAACTCAAGCAAACCTGCAACACCGTGCAATAGTTCCAGATAGTGCTTCCTCAAGGGAGGAGCAGCCTGCTGTGGCAGCACGGGCTCTGCTCTCGCTGGCAGCTGTCGGAGCTGCAGCAGCGTTTCCGACCACAGCCCAACGCCAGCTTCAGCACAGCCTGACCCCAGCTGCTTAAATCCACCTCATCCAAACCAGGCAACTGCCGGGACCTGTACTCGATGCCTGAAAGCGAGGGGACCGTGGTGACAGGAGAAAAAAACAGCTGTAAAGCACAGGGTGACTTCACTGAGCTCCGTCAGCCAACGTGGGCATCAGGGCCAGGCCGTGTCCCCGCCCGGCTCTGCGGAAGGGCAGGAGGCTGGGGCACACCGGCAACTCCTGGCCATGGATGCGGCCCCAGGGAGCCGCAACAGGTTCACGAACCAGCCGTGACACACACGGACAGCCCTTACCGGCTGACCGGCGCTGTCACGGGCTCCGGGCCGCTGGGCCCCGCGGCTGAGGCTGCGGCGGCACCGACACCCGGCCAAGGCCCCCGTACCGCGGGCACCGAGCCCGGCGAGCCCCGCGCAGCCCCGCAGCAGAGGCACTCACCCGCTCGCTCTTCACCGAGCCCGTCACCTCGTCGTCGTTCAGGTGCCGCTTGAATTTGGGAGGCATGGCCGGTGTGTGCCGCGGCTCTGTGCCCAGGGAGAGGAGCCTGGAGGGGAGAGCAGGGAGCGCCGGGCAGGCCCAGGACGGGACCCGCCGCCCCCGCGCTCAGCGGGCCGGGCCGGGCCGGGCCGGCGGGAAATGGCCGGTGCCGGAGAGCCCGCTCACATCGACCGCTCCGCCCGCCGCGCCGAGCGCCGAGCTGCCGATGGCGGGCGGGCCGGGGCGGAGACACCACCGAGAAACCGGGAGGGACCAGCCCGAGGCGGGGTCGTTCTGGGGCGGGGCGGGACCAGCCTGAGCCGAGGCGGGGCCAGCCTGAGCCGAGGCGGGGCCAGCCTGAGCCGAGGCCGGTCTGAGGCGGGGTCGGTCTGAGGCGGGGTCGGGGCCGGCGGGTTCTGTTCAGGCGCCGGCCCCGAGCGGCCCCCGTGGGTTCGGCCCCGGGCCCGCCCGCCCCGGCGTCACCCCTGGCACACGGCCTGGGCCCCGGGCAGGCGGCGGGGCAGTGCCGGTGCCCCCGCAGGCATCTGGAAGGTTCCGGCTCGCCCGCCCCCCGCCGCCCCGACCCTGTTGCTCTATAAATGCGGGCGCTGGTGGCCGACGCGCTCAGAGGGGGGCGCCGGGGCCATGCTGGGGGTCTGGCTGCTGCTTTGGGGTTCCGTGGCCCTGGGCGGCCGGGCGGACACCGCCTTCCTCCGCCGCGCCCATGACAGCTCCGGGCGCTGCACCTACTCCTTCACGGTGGCCAGCCCCGTGGAGGCCGCCTGCCCCGACGCTGCCGGCGGCGTGCCCGAGCTGCGCGCCGAGCTGGCCGCCCTCGCCGCCCGCCTGAGTCGGCTGGAGAGCCGGGAGCGAGGAGCGGGGGGCTCGGGGCCGCGGGGAACCGAGCCGGGGGGCGCACGGGACTCCCAGCAAGCCTCCGGGCTGGAGGCTGCGTACGGCGAGCTGCTACGGGCCAAGTCCCGGCTGGAGGAGGAGAAGGGGCGGCTGGAGCGGGAGAAAGAGGAGCTGGGCAGGCGGCTGGAGAGCAGCGCCCAGGAGATCACCCGGCTGCGGGCCGCCCGCTGCCCCCCCGGCAGAGAGGGGCCCGGCCGGGACACGCTGCGTGCCCCCGCCAAGGGTAAGTGCCGGGGCCGGGGGCCCTGCGCATCCCTGCCGCCGGCTCCTCCCGTCTGGCCGGGTCCCCGTGCGGCCCCCGTGCTGTGCCCCCACTGCTGCCCCCCGCTCCTGGGGACCCTGGTGGGCTCAGCCGTGCTGGGAGATCGCAGCCCATTGCCCCATGCCTCCCTCCCCACCCCGCCTGCCCCACAGCACAGGGGGGATGCAGGGTACCGTGCTCATCTGGGCTCTTAGGAGTATCCCCCAAAGAGAATGGTCACAGATGTGCCCCGCTGCAGTTGAGGGGGCACTGGGCTCCTGCCAAAGGCATCGGCATTTCGGGGGGCAGCAGCCCGGCACGGAGTCCCCCGGGGGGGGTTGTGGGGGGCTGGCTGAGCCCCCGAGGGCAGCAGGAGAAGGCAGGCGGTGTGAGGGGCTGGCTGAGCCCCCGAGGGCAGCAGGAGAAGGCAGGCGGTGTGAGGGGCTGGCTGAGCCCCCGAGGGCAGCAGGAGGAGGCAGGCGGTGTGAGGGGCTGGCTGAGCCCCCGAGGGCAGCAGGAGGAGGCAGGCGGTGTGAGGGGCTGGCTGAGCCCCCGAGGGCAGCAGGAGGAGGCAGGCGGTGTGAGGGGCTGGCTGAGCCCCCGAGGGCAGCAGGAGGAGGCAGGCGGTGTGAGGGGCTGGCTGAGCCCCCGAGGGCGGCAGGGCCAGGCGGTGCCGGGGCTGGCTGAGCCCGCTCACGCTGTGCCTGGCCCCGCTGCAGCGCCGCGCTGGGAGCCGCAGCCCCTGAGCTACCAGGAGCTGCAGTCGGAGAGGAGCGAGGTTCCCGTGTCCCGGCTGCTGGAGGAGACGGCGCTCGCCCGCCCGGGCGAGGAGGACTCAGGTACGGGCACCGGACCGGCCCCGCGCCCCGCCGCTCACCAGGGGCTGGCGGTGACCGCTCCGCGTCCCGTCGTGTCCCCGAGCAGGCTGCGGCCAGCTGCTGTGGGTGGGGGAGCCCGTGGTGTTCGGCCGGGCGGACTCCATCGCGGGCAAGTACGGCGTGTGGATGAAGGACCCCGAGCCCGTGCCGCCCTTCACCCGCGACAACACGTGGCGTGTGGACACCGTGGGCACCGAGGTGCGCCAGCTCTTCCAGTACGAGGAGGCCGAGCAGCTGGCCCGGGGCTACCCCGCCAAGGTGCACATCCTGCCGCGACCCCTGGAGAGCACGGGGGCCGTCATCTACCGCGGCGGGCTCTTCTTCCAGCCCCGCCAGTCCCGCTCCGTGGCCCGCTACGACCTGCGGGGCGAGAGCATCACGGCCGAGAGGGAGATCCCCGGCGCCGGCTACCACGGGCAGTACCCCTACTCCTGGGGGGGCTACACCGACATCGACCTGGCGGTGGATGAGACGGGGCTCTGGGTCATCTACAGCACCGACAAGGCCCGGGGAGCCATCGTCCTCTCCAAGCTGGACCCCGAGACGCTGGAGATCCGTCGGACCTGGGAGACCAACATCCGCAAGCGGGGGGTGGCCAACTCCTTCCTCATCTGCGGCACCCTCTACACCGTCAGCAGCTACTCTGCGCCCAACGCCACCATCAACTTCGCCTACGACACCGCCACGGGCACCAGCCGGGCCCTCAGCATCCCCTTCGAGAACCGCTTCCGCTACCTCAGCATGCTGGACTACAACCCTGCCGAGCGGCAGCTCTTCGCCTGGGACAGCTTCAACATGGTCACCTACCCCGTCCGCCTGTCCCGGCCGTGAGCCCGGGCTGGCGGTGCGCCGGCTCAGCCCCCGGGGGCTCGGTGCGTGCCTTGGCACCCCGCTTCCCTCCCTCTTTCCCCCGGGAGCGCCGCCTCCCACAGCCTCGGGGTGCTGGGGGCCGCACGCTGCCCGGCCACATCGCATTGTGCAGCAGAGAGAGAGAGGAGGCACTCACTGCTCCAGAGCCCGGGGAGTGCCCCTCAGCGGCCTCGGTGGGTTTCGGATGGGTGCCCGCAGTGCCCAGCCCTGAGCTGCTGCAGCACCTCCCTGAGCACCCAGCCTGGCCGTGAATGTGGAGCACGGAGGGCTCAGGCACGGGGAGGGCTGTGCAGGAGGATCCTGCCTTAAAATAAACGTGTTTCCCTAGTTGTGAGCAGCGATCCCCTCTGTGGGGTCAGGGTTTGTTGTTTCCAGGCTCCAGCCCTGCAGAGATCCCACAGCCTCCACTGGCATCCCACACTCCCGGTGCCCAAGGGCATCCTGGAGCTCAGCCACCTCCAAAACTCATCGAGTGGGCTCAAAAGCAGCAGAAAACACAGACACACATTGCACAAGCCTTGTTTTATTGAGGGAAAAAGGCAGCCAGGAGAGCAGGGGAGAGGAGTGCTGGCAGAGCACCCTGCAGCCGGGTGGCCTCTCAGTACCCAGCCCTTCCAGCCTTGTGCTTCAGCTTTGCAGCCATCCCAGGCCAGCAGCTCTCCCCAACCAGCCCAAACCACGCTGCTTTATCTGTTTATTGTAGAAAGCTTCTAGGAGGAGGCTTCTTTCCCATTCTGGTGCCTGGGGCAGCAGCAAACACATTCCCCAGGGGCTGCATGGGGTCCTGGCCCAATAAACACTGCCCAGCACCTCTGCTGCCTCACACCTCGTTTTTCCAAGGCTGTTTTCCAAGGAGTGTGGTGGGTTGGTGCCACTCTTGGTACACCTACAGGCTGGAGGTGCTGGGGAGGGGGAGCTGTAAAGCCTTGAGCAGGAAAATGCCACAGTTTGGGAGGCAGCTCCTGACAGCAACACACCAGTCATTGGAGCAGTGGAAAAGGACAGAGAACACAGTGGCACACTTGTGATGATCAGAGAGATGCTTCACCCCTCTGCTGTCCTGACACTAACACTCTTTTCTTAAGTGTAGCAGCACTGTATGTTTGCACATCACAATGAAGCATTTGGTTTATCCATCATCCCCAGGCTTTATTTTGGAAAAATACGAGCTGGTTGTAAAAAGTGAGCTGATACATGTGAGGAATGTTTGGGAAGCTGCAGGGAGGAGCCCAGCACAGAGGGAGGAGGCTGAAAGACCCATTCCTGCTCCTGGGCAGGAATCTGACCTGAGCAAGGGCCAGGAACACATCAGCCCCGTCACTGTCACACGCAGAGCTGGGAGCCCTGGGGCCAGGGCAGGGGAGAGCCGAGCAGGCAGGGCCAGCAGTGCCCAGCAAAGCTGGCACCAAGGGTGGGGAAAGGCATTTCTGTCCCAAAGCAGGGGGGGATGAAGGGCAGGGCTGGAGCAGAGCCCCGGCAGCGGCAGCAGCGCCTCGCTGAGCCCAGACACCGAGGGCAGACAGCTCCGCCCCAAGCCGGGGCCCTTTCAGGCCGGGCAGTGCATCTCTTAATTGCCTGAGAAAATAAAGGAGGACAAGCCAATGTACACAGGATTTCCAGAAAGCTGGGCTGCAGCTGAACAGCGCTGAATACACTGCTTTACTTAACAGGCTTTGGGAAAACAAGCCCTGCCTGCCCACATCCCAGCAAGAAGCAAGCCTGAGCCCAGGGGGTTGCTGGATCTGGCCCCAATCACATTTAAACCCCCTCTGGCTCTCACCCTGCAGAAAAGTGATGACCTTTTCACAGCCTCAACAGTATTAGGGGGAAAAAAAATTGAATTCCCCAAACAAAATTGTTTCCTAATTTCTGTGAGGTTCAGCACAATTATTTCTGATGACCAGAGTCCTAGAAAAGAGATTACAAACCAAATCCCACTCAAATAAAAAAAAAGCAAGAGCTACTCCAGTGTAAATAGCCAGGAGCAAAGTTATCTGATTGAATGTCATAAAATATTCAATCAAGTGGGGTCAATGACTGAAAGCTCCACCTGGCCTCAAGGCAGCTGGCGTGGTTTGGGGTTTTGGAGAGGAGAGGCACACATCAAACCTGGGTTATTTAGAGGCACAAAATGCCCAAACATTTACTTTAATTAAACTTCTGCAGAAATACTCCCCTTGTTCTGCTCTGAGCACAAAATAGTCCAAAGCCTGGTACATTCCCACAGCCGACTGTGGGAAATTCCTCTGATTTCCCAATGGAATTATTCTTTATTACTACAGAATTGAACATGAATCCTTTTAGCAGCACTTCTTTAAAAATAGAACACTCTGGGGAATGAGTTCCCAGTTTTGGGGTGTCCAACAGGCTGAAGGCAACCTCAAAGCAGGGAAGCATCACCACAACTCAGTTCCTTTTACAGCACACTTGTAGATGGAAGCCGTGTCCACATTCACTCAGTGTCTCATGTCCACCCTCCTTCCCAAGCATTTCCTGAGCTGTGCTCACACAGATCCTTGTGGAAAAGGTTTTACCCCGAGTGTGACCTGCCCACAGCTTCCTTCTGCCCATGGCTGCATTTGTGGATTCCAGCACCTTTGATTTACTCCACATTGCTGCAGTTTTACCCTGAACAAAACCAACCGGGGCAGGAAAGGTGCAGAGCCAGCCAGCACCTTCGCCCCAGGCAGGAATTACTTCCCAGAGAGCGACACCACAAGTTCCTGCTGTTTGTGGGAAGCAAGTTCCCTCTGGTGGCCAGGGCTCCCTCAACTCCTGCCGGTCCCCTGCTGCTGCTGCTGCCTTGGGAGGCTCCCTGGAGCAGGGGCTGGGCAGAGGTACAGGAATACAGTAGGGATTTATTAAAGGAATGAAGCAGGGATTTATTAAAGGCCTCCACAGGATACACCCTGGGCAGTACCAGAGCCCAGCTGTGGCTACACCCAGGATGGACCCTGGGTCACGAGTTCTCACACTTTTATAACTTTTGGTCCATTTCCATCTTGGGATTCCTTGTCCAATTCCAGCTCCAGGTTCTGCAGTCTCATCCTCCCAGTTTGCTCTCCTCCATTCCCTGTTGTTGGCACTTTCTGGGCCTGAAGCTGCAGTGGTGCCCTTGGTCCTGGGGCTGGAAAAGGATTGTTCTGTGTGACTGAGCTGTGAGGAGAACCTGCCAGCACTTTATATGGAGTTCAGAGTTATACACAAATACAGAACAGAATCTGGAAAATATGAAGGCTCAAACTTAGGGCATCACTGGCTGATGGGACAAGTGGCACCATCCCAGCTCCATCAGCTGGAGATGGAATTCCCAGCAAACACCCCCAGGCTCCTGCTGGGGCAAGTGGTGGCCACGTCCTGCGAGTCCCTGGCTGGAGAAGGGCTGGCAAGTGCCAGGATAACAAAGGAGCTTCTGGGAGCATTTTCCTTCAGGAGCCTTTCCCTGGGAGCACTGCTTGCCTCCTGCAGAATCATGAGAGCAGCCAGGGGCTTTATTTAGAGAATACTTTATTAGTTTCTGTAATCAAACCCATGTAAATAAGACCGTACATATTTCATACAGTGCGTTACCCCTGTACAAATGGAAAAAAAATTAAGTTTAACATTTCTAGACCAATATGGCTGTTAATTTCTGTACAATGCCAACTCACACTACAAGTGGGATACTTTTTTCCAAAGTTGACATCACAGCTAGTTTCCAAAAATTCAAATTATATATATATTTATATAAAAAGATAACCAATAGCGATTCACTAGGCATCAATAGCAGCAACAGCCTTTCCAGCTTCTGCAGTCATTTGAACAAAATTATACACATTAGACTTTCAACTCTTCCTTCCAAAAAACGTAAAAAAAAAAAAGAAAAAAAAATCCCAGAAAAAACCAGCAAATTCTGCTACTGATGTGGTACCTGGTGCTTTTTATTAGCTTTTTCAATCATTGTCTGGAAAAAAACCTCTAGAATAACATTATTAAAAACAGCTCCAGTATAGCACAGTCACTACTACATATCATAAGCAGGTACAGGATATCTTACATTCACAGAAGTATCATACAGTACTGTCCTACAGCTAGAATACTAGAGGATACAATTAAAAAGGCATTTATTTGACTTGATTCTACTTTCCAGCACACTGTGGGCAAGGAGGTGGTGCGATGCAGCTCTGATATAAAGAATGCACCTTTGAGATAAAACTCTCGTTCATCTGATAAGGTTTCTTTTATTCTCGTGGCACAGTTTAAGTGCTCGTTGCTGTGTTACAGACAGAAACTGGAAACCGTTTAGGGACCACTCGCATCATACTAAGACAGCTGGACAGGGGTGAACGGAACAAATCTGACTATTGATGCAACGAACCTTCAACTCCAGGGGTGGGAGCCACTGAGGGGGCAGCGGGTGGAGAGGACACAGGTGGCCAAGTAGCTTTTTCATATGGTGATCTAAATGCAGTAAATTGTCATCCAAGCAGCAGCAGCCAGCAAAGCACTGCCTTCAGAGGGAAATCCAACACTGCCAGTGTTACTCTGTGTTAGGTTAAGCCTGGCGCGGCAAGTGCGTGGATCCCTCTGTTTATACAAGATAGAAGCTTCTTAAGTCACTAAAAACTTAACACACGTTACTTGGCCCAGCACCATCTTCAGATCTGCACGTTCTCATACTCAGGGGTTTATAAAAAGATAAATAGCAGCTGAAGATCAGAGCCTGAAGAGAATAAGGAGTCATCGTGTCAGCTAGAAATGCCTCCCCGTGGCCGCCGCCGCTCCGGGCCGTGGCTTTGGGCAGCGGGCGGGCGCGAGCCAAAGGGGGCACGCACGTGTGGCACGTGCACGCCCAGAGCAGCCTTCATGCTGTTAGAGCAGGCGTGACCCCGAGAGCCAGGGCTCGGCCGGCACCACGGCAGCTGGCACCGCCTCTGCTGCTGGCACCCAGGCCCCGCGGGGCTGCGCAGAGCCCGGCAGGGAGGGCAGGCTG